CACATGTTAGTACTTTTCCTAAGGAGCCTGAGCCCAAGCAGCAGCCCACATGTGAATGGTTTGGGGCTTTGTGGTAAATGGGGCCCAACAAAAGTTTTTATGAGGATGAGTCTGCATCAGATGGCTATTATTATTCCGCATGGTAGTTGTGAGCGGTACCGATGTTTTGCCCTCAGAAAAAGAGTTTAACTTTAATAGTTGAGATTACCATCAAGGAAAATAAAGATTGTTTTTTTTTTTTAACAAAGAAAAAAAAAAAGGATGCCTCAGGGAACCGGGCCTCTAAAATAAATGAATGCAAATGGGATCCTTCAAGTAAGACGAAGAAAATTTTATAGGTACAGTGAAATTAAAAAAAAAATTGATGAAATTAGATGGAAAAACCAGGAGGTAAGAAATTGCATATCTTCTCTTTTTTGCTTTTTCAGGGTCAATAATTGCAGGCAATTGGACCTTCAATAATTGACTTTCTTTTTCCTTGCAGATGGGACCTCCAATTACAGATAAAGAGAGGATAATTCTACTTGCTAAGTGGGAATACAAGAAAATAGTAGATAGAGAAACAAAGAAGAACAAAAAATGGAAAGAAGCAAGCACCTTCGCAGCTTCGCTTTTTTCCATGGAAAAAAATTAGAGCCCAGATATGAACACGGGAATGCCCAGTGTACCTGTATTCCCACACCCCTTCATTGGGAAGTTTTGAGCTGTAAAACAACTTGGAACATGAGACAAAAATCGAAGACATTTTAGGGGTTAATTAATTACAAATTTTGATAGGACTAAATGAATAAATAACCCATTATATTTTGGTGATTCTGAAATTTTTTTTTTTTTTATTAAAGCAAATGATTCAGAGAAGGAGGTGAAGAAAAAATCAATTCCTTATCGTGATAAAAAAAAACTTACATTAAGTTGTTGGTCAGCCAACTTCCGTCATGGTTATGAAAACTTTTAAAAATTCCATCCCTCTATAGATTTTGGGTGCAATGACAGTAAGGGCTCATTGAATTGATGGAATGGCCCTATACTTAGTGACACTTGACATATTGGATGCCATCAATGAAATAATATTAGTTGGTGGTTCCTTAAAGATGTACATTCTTCTATTGATATTATTAATATTTAAATAATATCAAAATTAAGATTTATTATTAAAAAGTATAACAAATAAAAAATAATTATTTTCCTGTTTATAAAAAAACACCGAATGAATGCAAATGAGACCTTCCAAGTAAAACGAAGAAAATTTTACAGCTACCACGAAATTAAAAAATTTATGACCAAGAAAAAAAAACTCATGAAACTAGATGGAAAAAACCAGGGGGTAAGAAATTGCATATCTTCTCCTTTTTGCTTTTTCAGGGTCAATAATTGCAGGCAATGGGGTCTTCAATAATTGTCTTTCTTTTTCCTTTGCAAATGGGACCTCCAATTCCAAATAAAGGGCGGATAATTCTACTTGCTAAGTGGGAATACAAGAGAGTAGTAGATAAAGAAATCAAAAAAAAAAAAAGACATAAAAACGAAAAGAAGCAAGAATCTCCGCTTTTTTCAAGGAAACAAAAAATTAGAGCCAAGATGTGCATCTTTCTATTGATATTATTGATATTTTAATAAAATTAAAATTAAAATTTACTATTAAAAAATCCAATAAATAAAAATTGAT